AGAGGTACTCAAAGTGGTATACCATATGTACCATATGAATGTATATGTATTTATGTATATGCCACATATGTAACACATTTCTACATATATACCACAGTTACAAGGTAGGTGCAAAGGAGTTCAGCCAACTGTAAAGTCAGAAGGCATAGTCCCCACAACACTTCCCTCCCCTCAGATACTAACTTCAAATTCAGGGGTCCCCACAACCACCCTCAGGCTCAGTAATTTACTAGAATGACTCATGATCTCAGCAAAGTGCTATACTTAGGCTCACATTTTTATCACAATGAAAGGATACAGTGAGAACCAGGAAGAGACGCACAGGGCAGGGTCTAGGAGGGGTCTGGCATTACCACCTCCCAGCTAATGTGACTGTATGCCCAGAGTATTGCCACCTGGGGATACTCTCCCAAGCCTTTGGTCTCCAGACTTTTTATAAAGGCTCTGTCCCATGTTGCCCACACAGCTGACCTTCACCCTTCAGTCTCTCCTGGAGGTTCAGGCTAATACCATTAGTTTCTAGTTTCTCCAGAGGTTGGAACTGATAGGACGTGTCCCAAAGTCCCCATCACAAATCACAGTTAGGCTGTCTGGTGGCCAGAACCCCAAGCAAAGACGCTCCCATCAGGCAAGACATCCCAAGGAATCAGAGATCACCTTCCAGTAATCAGAGCCAAAGGCCAGACTTCTCATTAGGTAAGGTCGGTTCTTTACTACTTGGTAGGAATAATAAATGCTCTACATTTAAAAAAAAAAACAAAAATCTCTAGGATAATGTGTTTCTACCTGGGCATTAATTTTAGCAAATGCATAGAGTTGAATGGGTTACATAATTTCTCAGTATTTAATATTAAGATATCAGCTGTCTAGTTCTAAATTACAAAAAGAGTATACTGGGTAGATCCTTCTGCAGTACACAATGAGTATAATAGTGAATGGTGTCTTCAGCAGTAGTTTAGAAAATGATGCTCTAGGCTATTTATTTTTATTGTCACCCTCATTATATGGAACCCGTGGAAGGATTTCCATGAGGGCAGGGGGGCAGTCTGGTAAGAGAACAATTTTACAAGGCCCAGGTAGATAGCTTTCTGGTAACAACCTGGTACAGAGAGAGTTCAGAGTGGCGGGAGGGCTGGTATCTTCACCTTAGTCCTCTCTGTTTACCTGAGCCCTGACACGTGGTGGCCATCTCACAGGTTGTTATGAAAACCAAAGCTGAGGAAGTTCAAGGTGTGAATATTTGTGAAAGTATTTTTTTAAAATATGGAGTCCAATAGATAAGGAGAGAGCATCAGAAACTAACCTGAGAAAGACTGAATCCTCATCTTAGATAAAAGCACCATCTCCCCTACCCAGAGGCCTTTCCCTAGAACTGCTAAGAGCAATTGTGATTATAATAATTTGAATTTCTAGTGATAATCTAAAATAGTGTTTCTCAGCCATGGCATTGTGTTATCCCTGTAACTCCATTATGACACACAGACCCACACCTATGCCACATTCTCTCAATGTCTTTATAGGTAATAATGGGGATATTTTTATTTCCATCTGCCTGACTACCGGGTCTATCTCTCAGTTGGTTCCAAACCTGAAAGCTAAAACTTCGACAGTATTGACACAATCTTCTTAAAAAATGTTAATTGATTTATACACATGTGTAGACACACACACACACACACACACACACACACACACACACACACACTTTTTATTTGAGAACCACATCCCCCAAGAAGCCTTCATTCAGGTATTGTACACTTGCTCTGAGCAACTGTGTGCAAGGCATCCAAGGAGTGGGTGTCCTAAGGGAACTCAATGTTGAATAAAACATAGTGCTTTCCTCAAAGTAAGAAGAATATAAAAATCATGACAATGACCATTTACTGAGCATCTATCATGTGTCAAGGGCTAGTCTGAACTCTTTATGTAATCTTTAGCACAGCCCTTTGTGATAGGTGAGTGGGATCCACTCATTTTATAGTGGAGGAAACTGAAGCTCAGAGAACCTAAAAAATATAACTCAGATCACAAAATGAGTTAATACTAAAGCAGAGATTCAACACCAGATGCATCACACTGCAAAACTTCTCTGCTTCTCATAGCAATGCAAGTAACCCTAAGCAATGAGTATCCCGACAGAGCTACAGAAATTACTCTGAAGCTTCAGTATGGGCCACCTCAAGGGTCAGGGATGCCCCTAGTCCACAGCATGCTGGTTCATTACCACAGCCAAGTGCAAATCATTCTCACCCCCATGATCTATAAACAAGCTTGCCAAAGCTAATTACTGGTAATAGACGACCCCAGTCTATACCTGCAGCTCCAAGCAGTTGGAAAGGCAAAGGGATCTCCCAGAAGAGGGTGCTCCCTCCTAAATATTGGTCCACATTAAAAGGAAGCAGAGCTCCTTGGAGTAAGGTTGATTGTAGGTCTGGGGCAGAACAAGAATAAAGCAAGCCTAAGATATTTTCTTGTTGCAGAAAGCAAGGAAACATTCAAGAACCAATAGAGTTATATCAAAGGGAAACAGCTACTTGAAGGGACCCCCACTGTCCAAATTTGGGGTAATTTGAGCATCACATGGAATAATGATAGTAATAGATCATAACACAGTTGAAGAGAAAAGTGAATCCATGGGTGAACAATGATACTGGTGAAAGGGAGGTTCTTTGCAGAAAAATATCAGCTAATAAGTGCAGAAGGAATTATCAAATTAGAATATCACCATTTGGTACCCCTAAAGTAATATTGGATCAAACAAGGGTAATCGTGCCGAAGGCATTGTGTGAAAGGTTGTTAGGAAACAGGATATTCTCATGGTCGCAAAGTATCACACCACAGATTATTACTAATTACAAACAAATCACCTTTACCATGGAGGGACCTGATTGAGCCCCCTTTAACCAAGTAATCAAAGTTGGCATCACCAGCCTTGGTATAACAGGGATCACAAGCCTCCTGAAGTGAAGCAATAAGAAAGAAGAACAGGGCCAGCCGAGTGGCGCGTTAGTTAGAAGTTGGCTTGGGACGCCAGCTCTGAACAGCAGGGCCCCAGTTCGGATCCCGTATGAGGGCCAGTGACGCTGTGCCCTTCTACAGCTAAGATGGTGAACAACAGCTCGACCTGGAGCTGGGCTGCCATGAGTCACCGGCGATGGCGTAGGCTGCAGTAGGGCTGACCAGCAGCTGGTGTGAGCCGCCGTGAGCGGCCGTCTGGCCAGTGAGCAACTGCCTCACCCGGGAAGAGCGCAATGATAGTGCCAACATGGGCCAGTGAAGCGACGTCCTCCACAACTAGACCGAAGAACAAAAGGACAGCAACTTGTCTGTTCCCCTTCCCTGATTCCCCAATGCTGTTTCCCTCCCCCAACTCCCCAATAAAATCTTTAAAAAAAAAAGAAAGAAGGACATAATATCACCTTTATACTATTGTTGCCAAAAATGTTGAACTTGTATCTAACCATTAACAAACTGTATGATAAATCCAGAATGTGTGACATTGTATAATACAACTGACCTAAGAGCTCTTGTTATGCACCCTAAAAAATAGGTGGAGGGCTTGTGCTAGATTCAATGATCTTAAAAAGATATAAAACCAAATCAAATGTGAACCTTGATTGGGCTCTGGATCCTGGGACAATTGGGGAAGATTGAATCTAGATGGCTTATTACATGTGTTATGGAACTTTTGTTAGTTTTCTCAGATGTGATAATGATTTAGTAGTGATAGAGGAGAATGTTCTTATTTTTAGGAGATGTAAATTTACAAATTGAAGTATTTAGACATAACATGTCATGTCTGCAATTTGCATTCAGATGATTCAGAATTTGCTCCCACAAATATGACAAAATGTTAAGTTAGTGAATCTAGGTGAAGGGATCTAGGCGTTCATTGTACTATTTTTCTTTCCATTTGTTTAAAAATCTTCATAGTAAAAGTTGGGGAAAAGGTTACAATATATGATATTGTTAAAGAGAAAAATGTTGAAAAGTTTGTGTGAATGAGAACTTATACACATATTCTATGGCCCTCTATCAACTTTTGACACCTCTTTCTTTCCATGCTAGTGGTTTGGATAATAAGTGTTCTGTGTATCCACTGACGTTTGACAAAAATGAAAACATGGCTGCCAAAAAGAAGTCTGTTGCTATGCATACCAACTACCTGTCAGCCTGCAGCTTCACCAACTCTGACATGCAGGTAAATAAGGGGCCCGCGGCTGGATCAGCCTGCTGGGGAGCAGGGTGAGTGGTAGAGAAGTTGCAAGGACAGAAAGCTTTTCCCGTGTCCCTCTTAACAGGAGGGGTGTGCTCCAGCGCTTGGCTCAACAGGAAGCTCCCTTTGTTCCTCACTGGTTATTATGATTTGCAATAAAATCAGATGAGGAAAATCAGGGCTATTGGTTGTTGATCGAGTTGAGATAGACTACATCCCATATCCAACATCCTCCTCTAATTGACTTGATGGGGGTGGGAGTGGATCAGGGAACTTGCTGGGGTGGTGGGAATTCCTGTCTCCCTGTCTGAGAGGTGGTCCCAATGTACTCACTGAGCTTCTGAGCTTCAGAGTTGGCACTTTACACACCTCACTGAACCTGTTTTGTACTTGTTTGAACAATTGCAAAAAGGAAAAGCTTCAGAGAGTAAATCTGTGCCCTACTTTGAATAAACCATAAAGTAAAAACGATACAACTTTAACACTGCGACTACCTTTTCTTAACAAGTTGTAAATGCATACAGTAGTTTACTTATTCACATATATTCAGCAGCCCTTTCTAAGTGTCCACCACCCATGTTGCCAGATACTACCTGGCCCAGGGGCTGGAAGGACACTTAGTCTCTGCCCTTAGGGACCTTCAGTGATACCTTCGTGACTGAACAGCGGGAAAGGCTGGGAACTCAGAGCAGGAGGGGTGGTCACAAACTAGCTGCAGTGGCGGGTGCCCAGGCCAGCCTTGGAGGGCAAGGGTATTGCCAGTGAGGTGTGAGGGGAGCACAGTGGGAAGCAGGCAGCCTGTGAAGTGGGCAGTGCCAGGTCACAGGGGCGCTGACTGCCTGGGCTGACCCTATAGATAGACGTGGGCCATTGCAGGGGCTGGAGCAGATTTGGGGTTAACTCTTTCACTGCTTTAATTGATTCCAAGTTTGTTTTTTTTTCAAAATGTGTCAATAACCCACAAACGATAAAAAGTTGATATTTTGACTATTTTATGCATTTAGTAACATTTTGAGCTGCTTTGTACATAAATGACATTTTTATTTTAAACCTTTGTTTATGGTAATAAATTTACCATTATATTGAATTTTAGCAAAATATACTCAAAACATACTAAGTGGCATCAATTAGATTTAAGTATAGATAAATTAGAATCTAATGACATTGATGACATAAAAAATGTATTACAAAATGTTACACAATATGGCATAAAAACATCTTTGTTGCGGATACTGCAAGCCACAGGAAAACATACCTGAACATCACAGCAAATGAGTTTTAAGGAGAGTATCTCAGATTAAAGCCCCTCATGGTCCACTCTGGCTTTAGCTGACTAATGTCAGGAGGGGAGGGGAGGTTGGTGACTGGGAGACCAGGTGACTAGGTAATGTAATCGCTCACAGGATGAGTGTTCAGACTTGGAGTGCAGTGACCAGGAGCCTTGCAGACCTGTACAGTAGAGGGCGCTGTGGCCCCAGCTTGCTGCCCTTGAGCCTGAGGAGCAGCTAGAGCAAGAGAGGATGCTTAGCCTGCATGAAGGATGACTCGGAGGGATGCGAGAACAGCAGGTCATCAGGCATCTGAAGTGTTGCTGATGGAGACCGTCACCCTCACTCTGTGTTGCCGCAATGCTGGACATGGGGATCAAAGCGGACACCTCTTGAGGTAGAGAGTGCTTTCTTCCTAACAGGCAGCTAGCTGGAGATAGAAGGAATGAAGGGAAGTCCCCCTGACTATGCTGGCTACCTCGGCAGGTACAGGTCTTGGCTCAGAGTCAGACAGCTGGGATCCAGTCGCGGCCCCACTGTATGCTAGCTGGTCACTCCCAAACAAGGTTTTATTCTCTGTTTTGTTCGTCTCACCTGCAAGTGAAGATGGTAGTAAATTCTTCCCTCATAAAGCTTTCTCAGGATTGAATGAGATGATTCATATACAATACTTAGTATAGTCCCTGGTAAATATCAGTGTGTTAGCTCTTCCTGTTTTATTTTTATTAATATTAACACAAAGCTTCGTGGGTGATTCAGACGCACGACCTGGCTTGGGTACCAGTGAACTAGGGAACCTTAAGCTTCCTTCCATCTCTGGGATCTAGGATGAAAAAAGAAAACCTCAAGTGGCTGATATAAGACTATGGTATTAAACCTGCGAATTCTTTACATTCCAGAATAAATGAGTGACAGTGAGTTAGAGGTTCTGTTTAGTGCAGTTATCATAATGAATGTTTGGTTTTTTATTTTTATTTATACTTCGATTGTAACAAAGATCACAAAAGATCACAAAAATATATTTAAAATTTTTAAATATTAAGAATTCACTTTTTTAAAAAAAAACCATTTCTTTGACTGAAGAGTGTGGTATGGAAAATTCCCATATTAAAGAGCTAGACTGTGGTAATCATTTAAAGCAGAGTGTTTGGACCTGGTGTCCCAAAAAAGAGTGGAGATTATTAACCCTTTGGAAGTGTTAGAACAGGAACGGAGTGGGTCATCCACTAGTGGATGTGGGCCTGGATAGATGGTAGGAAATTGTAGCATATTACAAAATACAAGTACCTGAATTAAGACACGTGTGTTCATAAACTACTTTTACCAGTCTTGTTCATCTTGTTGGATGCACACTTGAGGGAAATTGAGGCTGGAGGGAGTCCCATGAACAGCTAGCTATAGGGGCTTAGCAGCCGTGGAAATTCCCCAAATTTGAGAGCTATCCCCCAAGTGGGGTTTTGAGGAAGGCCTTGGGGACCATGCCCAAGAAGCCTGAGTGCTTCGGAATTCAGCCAGCTCTTGCTCCAGGGAGATGCTCCAAAGCAGCCTCTCCTTCCTGGCTGCAAAGATATCCTAGGCCTCCCAGACTGCCCGGCAGGAAAGTGCAGCCTGAGGGTGGACAGTGCAGCCTGCAGCCGCAAGGCCGTGGTGGGGCAGATTCCCCTCCTTATAATGTGTCCCCTCCCTGCAGAAGAAAGGAGACTTTTTATAAGTGCTAGGCCTAGCATACAAGAGAGAAGGGGAGAGAGCATGAAGGAGGGAGAGGGAGAGGAGGGGTGAAGACCACCAGTGCATAGCAACTGGAATGCCTTAAGGCCTGGTTCCTGTTTCCTTCCCTCAGCTATCAGTAATTACCACCCCTGTTGTGGGCACTTAGACTGTAATAGCCACTTCCTGCACTGTCCTATCACCCCATCCAGGCCCCGAGCAGCCTGAAGGTGGCGCATAGGGAGGCTCTGCTATCCAGGGCTTAACCCTTGTGGTTCTCCACGTGGCTTCTCAGGACCAAACTGGCTCCAGGGTGCTGCAATTGCCGTCAGCTAGGCATATGAGCCCATGAAGCCTGGATCCCACTGCCTTTCTCTCAACTCCACCAAGGTATGCCCAGCTAGAGCCCAAGCCTCAAGCAAAATGGCAGTAACAAAAATTCGAACCCTAGCTCTGCCCCTACACCTTCCCCCAGGCACCGCAGCGTGGGCCAGCCTTTGTACTTGTCAGTGATACAGAGGCTGCTGAGGGATAGCTGAGCCAACCTGACAGAGTCTCCAAAAATATCTCCTTGATCTCATCATTGGGCTTGGACGCTTTCCACAGTTTCTTCTTGCCTACAGGCTCAAGTCCTCATTCTCTCCACAGGCACACCTTTCCTTCAGTGCAGAGGTATGCTGTCACCTGCAGTGCCCTCCCTCCCCTCCCCTCCCCTCCCCCTGGCCAGCTCTCACTCATCCACCAAGAGCAGCTCAGGCATTGCCAGAGTGGGTTTGGTGCCCCTCTCAGCAGCCTGCCTGCATCTCAGCACTTCTCACATTCTGTCATAAGTGATCATTGTGTTGTCTGCTGAGACCCCCAGAAAAACTTGTCATCCAGCATCTCTAGGCGACTTAGACCCACTGCAGTAAGGGAGAATGCCCACTTGACAGAATATAGTGTCTCAAAATGAGGAAATCGGGGAAGGGTATGTGGAGGGTTTCAGGGTCCAGCCTGGGTGATTTTAAAGTGGGTCTTTCAGGAAACTGGTTGATGACATGACAGCGTGGTTGGTGAGCCCAGTGAGGTAAGGGTCTCGAAGTGAGTCTTGATGAGCAAGCTCTTAGTCTTTGTATGTTGTTTAGTTGGTTCACAGCCTTATTTTGCAGGAGCAATTGTTTTCTAGAATAAGCAGCTGGGTGATTTTTACTTGGTCTCAGAAAAGTGTGCCAGGTCCTGGAATTGAATAACGTGGGGACAGGAAATTAGGTTGGTTTCAGATGTAACCACCAATCCTGTTAAACCGAGCTCCAGGGGAGCAGAGACCAAGACCCAGTCTTTCCGCAAACCCTAATGCCCAGCAGAGTGCCTGGATGTAGTCGCACAGCAGATGCTTGTTGGCCCTGTGTGTGCATGAGTGTCAGTACCTCCTAGTGGCTCTGGGGAGCCTCTGGGGCAGCACCGTGCCCTGGGGAGAAGCAGCAGTAGGAAAATGTGTTTAACAAAATGCTGCCTCAACCCTTGCTGCTCCAGGTGGGGTCTAGTCACCAGCATCAGCATCACCTGGGAGTTTGTAAGAACTACAGACTCTCAGGCCCCACCCCCGATCTGTATTAGCAAGCAGACTGGTGACTGGGGTGCTCATGAACGTCTGAGAAGCATTTTATGTGTTTGGCCCGCACAACGGTGGGTAGGGCTGCTTGGGGGAGCCATTCAGATATTCACAGAGCACTTCTTACACACGAGCAGGCATAGGGCCCTGTGGGTACAGTAGGGAGGCCTTCTGGATTTCAGACTCCAGAGCGGGTAGGCACATAAACACAGCTCAAGCTGGAGCGGCCAGTTAGCTCAGTTGGTTAGAGCACAGTACTCAACAACGCCAAGGTTGAAACAACCACCCGACTTTGAGCTGATGGGTCCTGGAAAAACACATTGTTCCCCAATAAAAAAAATTTAAAAAAAAAACACAGCTCAAGGTCACTGAAGGTGCCGAAAATGGACTTTTTCTTTCTCAGTATGGAAAAACACTTCTGCCCTTGACTCCAGGTTTAACGAGGTGTGTCTGCGTGTTTAAGGAGCCTCCTTTTCCCTGTAGAACTTTAAGCATCTGATGGACTTTCCCCCGACAGCAGTAGTGATGACAGTAGTGCTCTTCCTGTCCTTTTCTTCGGGCAGATCCTGACGGCGAGCGGTGATGGGACGTGTGCCCTGTGGGACGTGGAGAGCGGGCAGCTGCTGCAGAGCTTCCATGGGCACGGGGCCGACGTGCTCTGCTTGGACCTGGCCCCCTCAGAAACAGGAAACACCTTCGTGTCTGGGGTAAAAACCCAAGAAAAATCCCTAGGGGTCCTCTAGGGAGGCTGTGGCGGCAGTTCTTACCAATTCCTGGGTGTAGACTGGACAGGTCCCTGAAAGGAGCTGCAGAAATGGTCCTCAGCTCCCCACTGCACCCCCAGCTCCCGCAGCAGTGGTGGCACTTGGCGGGCAGTTAGAGTGCTGGATGTGAGGGTCTCCCATTCTACCACTGAAATTCAACAGCCTACAGAGGGATCTGGAATATTCTCCTGGTATGAATGCCGCAACTCAAGGTACATATCTGCCACATTTAAAAACGTCATTCCTCAAATAAATAGCAGAAAGTTAGCATCTGAGAGCATTAGAAACATCCACAAGGGCACGAGCTGGTCAGATGGTACTGAGGCGAGGCAACCCTGTGGTGTGACCAGGGCTTTGGGGCTGGTGGGACACTCTCCACTCCAACTCTGCCAGCCACCATCCCCCTCCCACACACAGAGCACAAGGAACAGCATTTGAAAGCTTAGAGAGGCAAATAAAGCCACGGTGGCACAGAGGAGCACCAGAGCAAGAGTCGGGATAACGGGCTCCCAGCTTTGCTACCTGACTAAATTTTGTCATCTTTAAATTAGGCATAATGTATAGTAGTACTTGCATCCCACCCCCTTCCCCAGGATATTTAAGCAGTAGGTGAAAGAGTTTGCAATATGTTACGCAAATAGGAGGGGTGAGTATTTCTGTGGACAGCTGGGAATAAAAATGAACAGCTGAGCTGACTGACAGGACCACGAGTCCTACCTCACTTCCGTCAAGGAGACAATGGTGAGAGAGGATGGTGATGTACACACCATCCAATGATAGTTGCAGCTGGAAGAAATAAGGGCCCTTTGCTCCGAGCTGCCCACATATTAGTTCTGGGCATCAGGCAAGGGCTCTGTGGCCTATAAATAGCAGGGACCCCAATTTTCTTTTTGGGTATTTGGCTATATCGCCATATGTTTCATTCTTACGCCTTTGTATCGCTGTACTTATCTCTCCTCAACTACACTGTTAAATTGTTGAAGTCATTGTAGATGATATTGTCTTTCAGAGCACTAAATTCCATCTGATTTAGTGCCCTCTGAAGGTTAGAAGACACTCCTGATTCATTTGTCCACATTCTCAGTAAAGATACTCGGAGTGCTGAACCCCACAGCAGGTCTTTTTGAGAATCAGTTATGGTACCTCGTCCCACCTTTCCTCTGAGTTGAAACCAACAACTTGGACACCGATTTTAAGCCATTCCTTCTTCTATCTGACTATTGAGAGTCTATATCACACTACCCAAGCTTGGCAATAGGACCGCTCTGCAGGAATTTATCAAAATTCTCCTAGAACCATGATAGTGTAATGGGAGAGCCTCATGTTTATGATTCTCTGGGTCAGGTTGGCAACCCAGAGAGAGTGTTTCCTTTATAGATGTCGAGGCGCAAGCTCAGAGAGATGATGACTCAGGCCACCAGCTAACTGCTGGCAGGGCCATGACTGGGCTCCTAGTTTGCTGGTTCCCAGCCCAGCATGCTGTCGGGGTGGAGATGGCCAGGGGCACCTGGCGCGCCACCTGTGTTCAAGGGCTGCCCCAGACACCTGAGAAAAGCTGGGAGGTCCCATCATGCACCCACTGTCTGCCTGCCCTCTCCTCTGGGCTTAGAGAGACTGATAAGAAGGAGGGCGGAACGGGGAAAATGAAGAGAAAGGAAATGTCCAGGGGGAAGGTGAGAAGTAGGCTCCAGAAAGTTTGCACCAACTCAGAAAGGTGTGAAAAAATTAAACATGCTACAGGAAGAAGCTGGGTCCTTATTCCCCACCGCCTCTCCCCAAGACCTGGTTCTGGCCTTCTAAGGGCTTATTAGTAGAGGAAAGTGGCCGTAGGTAAAGCTTGTCTCAGAAAAGCACGTCGTCAAACAATTACTAATGGGAAGTATTGGGTTCTTGGAAAAGTCATGGCGTATTTTTCTGTTTTTCATTGCAAAAATGCGTCATGACTTTTCCGACAACTCAATAAATGATGACTGTTATGTAACTGGAATTCATGCCTGTCTGTAGACAGTCCTTGCAATGGTCATAATGCTGGGTAACTTTGCACTTGTAGGGATGTGACAAGAAAGCCATGGTGTGGGACATGCGCTCTGGTCAGTGTGTGCAGGCCTTTGAAACACACGAATCGGACATCAACAGTGTTCGGTCAGTGAGTAGATTGTTTGCATTACTTCTCTGTTCTCCATTGCTCCCTGGCCTGGGATAACGCCCAGAAACCGCCTCCAGGCTCAGTTTACTTGGCTGAGAGAGGCCTCCCCAGCAGGCATGGCTGATTTGTGGTGGGCCTGAACAGAGCTCCAGATTTCTTAGAGAATTTTAATTTAATTATACTACAGGGCAGTTGATGTTATCCTTCCTAAATCGAATCAGTATTTCTCATTCTTTCATTCAACAAGTATTTATTGAGTACTTATATGCTACACATTATTCCAGGAACTGGAAATACAGTTGTGAACAAGATAGACAAGGCAATAGGACAAAGCACAAATAAACAAATGTATAATTTAATTTATGAAACTGATATGTGCTATGAAAAACGTAAAACAAGGAGATGGGATGAATTAGTTCTTAGAATGGTCAGGAAACGCTTCTCTGAGACGGTGACATTTAAATTGAATCCAGGATGATGCAAGAGCCTGGTTTGCAAAGAGCTGGGCAAAGATGAGGTGGGACCTAAGAAAGGCCAAAGAATTGAGTTGGGGGATGGGGGGGTGGGGCTAACATGATCTATATTTTGCCTTTAAACAATCACTCTGGCTACTGTATGGCGCAAGAATGAAAGTGTGAAGGCCAGGTAGAAGGTTGTTGTGTGAGTTTAAGAAAGAAATGATGGTGGCTGGAACTAAAGAAAACATAGAGACAAATGTCTAGAATTGGGAAGGGTCTGAAATTTTCCCCTACCTGCCAAGCTATCCAGTTAGGCTGCCACAATTTCATGGATGCTGGTAGAAAACACAAGACTCCTGGGATAGAGATGAAGGACAGTTCATTACTCAGAGCAAAGGCAGTACCCAGAGTATCAACATTTTTTTTTTAAGATTTTTTTATTGGGGAATTGGGGGAGGGGAACAGCGCTGGGGAATCGGGGGAAGGGGAACAGACAAGTTGCTGTCCTTCTGTTCTTCAGTCGAGTTGTGGAGGACGTTGCTTCACTGGCACATGTTGGTATGATCATTGCGCTCTTCCGGGGTGAGGCAGATCTGTCGTCGGCAATGCTCATGGAGGCTCTTGGCAACTCACACCAGCTGCCGGCCACACACAGTAGCTTATGGAAGTCCACTGCAGCAGGGGCTCCAGCCTACACTGTCACCGGTGACTCACTGCAGCCCAGCTCCAGGTCGAGCTGTTGTTCACCATCTTAGCTACAGAGGGCAGTGTCACTGGCCCTCATGTGGAATCCAAACTGGAGCCCTGCTGCTCAGAGCTGATGTCCCAAGCCAGCTCTTAACCAATGCGCCACTCGGCCAGCCCCAGAGTATCAGCATTTTTGTGCTGGTTACCTGAGCTCCATTTCCACAGGGTGACATGAAAAGAGCCAGATGACACCTGCACATGCAAGGGGTTGTATTATGGGAGAAGAACCCTGAGCTTAAGGAACCGAAATCTTTATAACAGACAGTAAGTAGTGAACCATTTACTAAGACAATAAAGACTGGAGGCAGTGCAGCATCCATGAGGTTGTTGCACGTGGATTCTGGAGCTGTGTTTTGAGCAAGTTAAGTTTGAGATGTCTGTTATACAACCAAGTGGAGATGTCAGGTAGGTAGCAGGATTTATGAACTGGATCCCAAGAGGGAAGTCAGGACTTGATATATAAATTTGGAAGGTGGCACTTGGAAGACAGTGTATAAAGTATAATCACCCAAGAATCTTCATTATGCTTAGTGGGAAACTGGAGAGTTTTTCCCCTTAAAAGCAAGAACAAAATAAGAAGGCTTATTTACTTCAGTAGCACAAATGTTAAAAATGTCCAGCTCCCTGCTCTCAAATATGGGATAAGGAAAAAGGAAAAAGACTATCACTTTTTGCAAATGTGCAGCAATGACCTAGAAAAATCAAAGGAAATTGATCCAGAAATTACTATAGGTAGTGGTAGTGAATGAAGTTGCTAAGACAGAATAGATTGATAGAATATAAAAATAGACTATAAAGCCACAAATATAAACTGCTATATATTCATGAAATACAGCTTAAAAAATGCACCTTCTCTCACCCATGCTTTTCCCTGCACTCTGGACCCTCTTCCTCTAATGACCGTTATTCTATCAGGTCTCAACGTAGGCTTCCCTCTCTCCAGGAAGCCTGATTATGGAGAAGAGAATGACTAACAGAAATAATCATTGTTTATTGAGTGTTTTTTATTTGGCACCATGCCACATTCTTTGCATCTACTATCTTACTCCACCTTTACAACAGGGAATGTGCATTATCATCCTAACGTTTTAGATGAGAAAACTGGGCAAGGTGAAGTCACTTGCCAAAAGTATCCCATGTAGCAAGCGGTCAATGCTGAGATCTGCATGTGGCTCAGTTTATCCGATTCCAATGTCTGCGTATCTGATTCCAACCACTTTCTCATCCCTGAGCTCTGAGTCAAGTCTTGGGAATGAGGTAATCGAGGGGAAACTATGCCTATGGGGACGTGCTCTGTGTTCAGTGCCTGGCGTAGATACACGTATTATCTCATTTACTCCTCACCAACACTCTGCAAGACCAGTGTCACTGCCCTTGTTTACAGGGAAGAAAACTGGAGGCCAATGGGTCTGCCAGATGAGCCTCCCTTTCTGGCCTCTGTAATGAGTGGTCTTTGTGTCCCTAGAAGTGGAGATTCTGGCCCAAGGGCCTACCCTGGGACAGCCTTCCCAGGTGGTTCTGATGGGCATCCAGGAGTGGGAATCACCGCTCTAAATAAAGCATTTTTTTTTTCTCCCTAAACTTCTTTTCTACAGATACTACCCTAGTGGAGATGCCTTTGCTTCAGGATCAGATGACGCTACGGTATGTTTCTAAGTTTTTGATAGCTTTTCCTACTTGAAAGAAAGATATGCCTACCATTTTTTTTTAAGTAACTTTTTCTTACCATATAATTTCACTTTTATGTGGAATCTAAAAAAAAAACAAAATAAAAGAACAAACAGAAACAAAACAGACTCATAGATACAGAAAGCTGATGGTTGCCAGATGGGAGGGGTGATGGGCTGGGTGTAAAAGGTAAAGGGATTAAGAAGTACAAATCAGCAGTTACAAAACAGTCATGGGGCTGTAAAGTACAGCGCAGGGAATATAGTCAATAATATTGTAATAACTATGTATGGTGCCAGGTAGGTGCTAGACTTACCAGGGAATCACTTCATTAGTTATATAAAATCCCAACTACTATGCTGTACACCTAAAACTAATATAATATTGAATGTCAATTGTAATTGAAAAATAAAAAAATAAAAAAATAAAAAATAAATAAAATAACTTTCTAATTACAAAAGTAGTATGTATTCAATGAAGAAAACTTTGGTGAAAATTAAGTTACCTTAATCTCCCTACCTAAGAAAAATCACAATTGGGTGAATTTCTTAATGTCTCTCTACTTTTTAAACAAAATGCTTTTAATTTGCTTTTCTCACTTAGCAATAAATTGTGAACACTTTTCTGTGCCAATAAACATTTTTCTACATTATATTTTCTTAATGATTGAATAGTTTTTCATGTTATGGACATGCCATCATTTACTTAACCATTCATCAGTTTTTAGACATTTATGTTTTTTTCAAGGTTTTTTTTTTCTGTTAAAAACACTGCTATAATTAAATATTTTTAGAACTTATTATTTCCTTAGAATTCTCCAGGCATGAATTTACTGAGTTAAAAATAGGCCTTGTTTTAAGGCTTTTGATACTCATTGAAAAAAAATACGTTGACCAATTTTTCAAGAGGAAAAAAATACCTTCTCGTGCCCTGAAAATATCAAGTATCTTAATAAACAGTGGGTTTCATTCTGATTTACTACTGTGGGAGAAATTACAAAGGAATAAATTGAGAGTTTTGATAATAATGAAAATTTGAAACTTCTGTAGGTCAGAAAATATATAACAAAATATAAGTGGGGTTTTTTTTAAGAGTATTTAATGATAAAAAATGCCCATAACATTATGTCATAGAAGTAATAAACATCCATCCCATCCCATTTTAATATACACATACAATAGAAATAAGACTGAAGAAATAGCCTAAATGTTAATAAATACCACTAGGATTAAATACCACTAGGATTAAATACCACTAGGATTTGGAGTGACTTTTATTTCCTTCTTTATGCATTTCTGAATTTTCTACAATGAATATGTATCCTTTATCAGGAAAAAAAGGATTTAATTTTTGGTTTTATACCCAAAGAAACCTTCTATATTTACTGTTTCTTTAAATCTCCAGTGATCCTTAGAAATTAATAGGAAACAGATTTGAAGGAGAAAATACTAGGAGAGAAAACAAAAGAGGTATTTCCTTTATCTCTCAAACGACACCAGCTACTGGCACCTGCTGGTAGCTTTGTGGGCATCGCGTCACCAACTGGAGCCAGGAGTAAGTCCTTCCTTGTCTGTTTGCACTGCAGTGTCGCCTCTACGACCTCCGGGCAGACAGGGAGGTCGCCATCTATTCCAAAGAGAGTATCATATTTGGAGCATCCAGCGTGGACTTCTCCCTCAGTGGTAAGATTTTATTTCAGAAACTTTCCCCAGAACTGTAAAACAAGACCTAAATGAGACCCAGCTCTCTATCCACGGCCCCTCCGCTGAACTCTCAGTGGCCAATGGCTAAATAGTCTGCTTTAGTGCCAGTTTTCCTCCACTGCACTCCTTGACCACCCACTTCGCCCTGCCCTCAGTGACTTCCCCTAGACCCTTTCACTTCAGGGGAAGTGAAGGCTGTGCCCACCTAATACTGTCCTTTAAGACAATGGATCAACTCTCTTATGTGCGGTGCCTTAGGCTTTTCCTCCCTAGTCTTCCATTCTCCTCTACATACTCGAAAAGGAACTTGATTCAGAGGTGGAAGGGATAAAGCAAGAATCCCTGTCTCCGTACTCTGAAGCTCATGGCACCTTTGCCCTCACAGCAGGGGAGGCTGCTAGTGAATGTTAAGGCAGCACTGATATGCTAGGTCACTGGACCATTTGGTCTCCCCAGTCACCCCCATATTCTACATCTGCATGCTGCTACTGCTGCCTGAAACATCTTTCCTCTCCTTTCTCTGCACAGCAAACTCCTATTCAACCCTCAAGAGCCAACTCAAATGTTGCTTCCTCTGCAGTGCCCTCCTTGATACCCCTTCTTTTATGACCGCATAGCATGTTACACATACCTGAGCATTACAACCCTTACTACACGGTGCTACAATGGTTTGTGTCTGCTGCCCACAACTACCCTCCACAGGGGGCAGCAACTGTGCTTTCTCCTCCTTGAATCCCCAGGGCAAAGCACCAAACCTGGTACATAGTGGGTACTAAATCACTGTCGAATGAATGAATGAATGAATGAATGAATGAATGAATGAGCGAACACACAAGTGAGTGAGTGAGAGTCCTGAAAAGAAAAACAGGAAGGAAGGAACCAGTTTAATAACCATCATATCCTGCTTCCAGGTCGCCTGCTGTTTGCTGGCTACAACGATTATACCATCAATGTCTGGGATGTTCTCAAGGGATCCCGAGTCTCCATCCTGTTTGGACATGAAAACCGCGTTAGTACTCTACGAGTTTCCCCTGATGGGACTGCGTTTTGCTCAGGATCATGGGATCATACCCTAAGAGTAAGAGAGAAGTTTTTCTATTTTACTCGGTGTTTGAGAGGAGTGATTGACCTTCCTGAACAAACAGAGGTCAGAGTAAGCTAGCATAGGCCCAGGCAACCAAGTAGAGCTCTAATTTCAGCTCTGCTCATAGCCACAGAAGGAATGAGTGGCTGGGAGAGGTAGTGAGTTCCCCATCAATGCAGGGGTTCAAGCCTAGATTAAACACCTACATATCAGCATTGTAGTTGAGGGCACAGTCAGGCTAGGTGATCCAAAAGGCTCCTTTTGACCCTAAAAGTCTGATTCTTAGTCTAGCCTTTGACACACCAGATGGTCAGTCTCGCCATCCAGGAGTGCAGGGTTCTCCTGTACTCACAGACCCCTACTAAACCCACAGAGAGGTTTTAGGAGGCCCATGAAGCCTGAAATTATATGCCAAATTGTGTGTGTGTGCATTTTTCTGGGAAGTGTCCTTATGGCTTTTATTAAATTCTTAAAGAGCTCCATGACTTTGTTAGAAATACACCAAAATAGCCTGTTCATAAAGCAAAGCTTACCTCAGTGTGGAAGATCACAAACTTAACAGCCTTAGTAGCAGCTCAGAAGGGAGAGCAAAGGCAGATATTTATGAGGTTTTAGGGGTTTAAGGCAGGTATTTTGATAGAGGGACTTAATTAGGACTGGACAGATTTATGGCATAATAAAATTTGCTGGGCACAGGCTGTGGGGGTAGGAGAGGGTTTCGAAGACAGTCTTAAAAAGTGACCAGTCATTTGATGCTGTCTATTGTTCTGAGAGGTGAGCATCTCTTCTAAACAGGGCACTTGATTGAGTAGTCTAGTCTTAAACAGATATAAGGATTTTTGCAAAGTTCCTGAAACAGACAATAAAGTTATTTGTGACTTCATCTTCGTGGGCAAGAGTTTTCTAAATCAGTATAGTTGTGTTAAGGTAACCAGTGAGCCGTGTGGGTACAGTTGGTTTCAGTTGTCAACCTAAGAGTAACCAGTCCCTAGTAAGGAGGCCACAGATGCCCTTCAGACAATTAACTAACGGGGAGGGGCAGTCAGGTCCAAAGAAGCCCTTTGAGTTGCTAACAGTAAAGTGTTATTTTTCCAAGACATGAGAGTGCTCTATTCTGAATGGAGTGTGTGTGTGTGTGTGTGTGTGTGTGTGTGTGACTTTGATTTTTTAAACTCAGGTTTTACAAGTCGTTAACTACTAAGGGACAAACAATTATCTGTGTCTTTGCAGGTCTGGGCTTAATCGTCTTCTCAAAATGCACTCATAGGTATCTGAGGACAGAATTTGAAATCGTCACATGTAAATATTAATAGATCTTACTTCTAGAGGATCTGAGAGTTTATCGCACTTTAGCTTAAGGGAGCAACTCCATGGCTGAAAGTACACAGGCATCTCCAATATTACTGTTAGAACTACCACCCCTGGAAAAATACTACTGTGAGTCTTCAGCTCTAGGAGAATATCTTCAAGTACCGTCTTTCTCATTTTGAACACTTTTAAAATGTATTCATTTTTTAAGGTTATTTTTAATTATATTAGCCTCAGCTCTTTCTATTACCAACAGAATTCAGCATTTAATGTATTCTATATTATTTCCTTGAATCAAATTTTGTTTTCAGAGCACTTTAAAATCTGATTTTTCTCAGTGTGCACTGTGACTGTTGGAACCTTCTAGAAGTGCTAATTTTAGTGGATTGTATGAGAAGGACTGTGTTAATTGATCTGTGATAGAAGAAAGTTCCAATTCCAAATGTAATTAGACAAAGTCAAGTTTTTTTAAATGTTTTTTTATTGTAAAGGTATCTTTTTCAGTCTTGCATCCTATTGTTTTTTTCCAGATAAAACATTTTTATCTATGTGAACTGTTATAAATGAAACAGAGACATGCATAAAATGGACAGAATGTTTGATTTACAAATTATGTGATAATGTGATATAGCACAGTTATCACTTGGACAGAACATTTTGTTTGGAGGGAAAAGCTAAATGCTGTTTGTGACACAAATGCTTCTCAGAACAACCCAAACCTTTCTGTGTGGGAACACAAAGTAAACTTATATAAAAATCTATTACTAGTATTAGACACATTAGGGTTAGTAGTATCTACTCGGCCTAAAGTGGATCTTGTCCATATCCATTATACCCATGTTTATTGCATTACGAGTATAGTTACATATACAAATTAATTGCTATGTCTTGAATGATAATGTCTTTGATTCTCTTATACTGAGAACAAATAGCATAAAAGATATCTTGTCTTTATTTGTAATTCTGCGATTCCTTCTGGAAAATACCAAGTATTTTTGTTACAGGATCCCTTCTTTTTCTTTTTTTTTTTTCCTTTGTTTGTTTTTTAAAATGTAGAGGCTTATTCTTTGTTTTAGAAAATTCCTCATTTGTAAAGAAGGCATGCGTTACCTAGGGAAATAAAAAGTCACTTTAGACACTAAACATCATTCCTGGGTAAGGTTTGCCCTGTGGGTGGCCCGGGGTCTGACAGGCCAGGTCCTGTGGTGTCTGAGCGAGGGCTGTGTATGCTGAGTCCCCTGGGTCATCGGGTGTCTTCTCTTAGCCCTGCTCCAGCCTGGCCCTTCCCCTGGTGAGAGTTCTGGCTTTGCAGGCCCAGCCCCAGGCCCTGCTGCTCGGAGACACCCTGCTGGGGCTGGAGCCAGCACAGCCACCGGACAGTCCTGGGCCTGATGCTCCTATCCACCTAACGGGGTATACCAGGACCACCCTCCAAACCACTCAGTCAGGTGTCATAATGGACCAGTCAGTCAAACATCAATTCTTTTTAAATAAACAGAGTGGTTATATTCAGTCATTTGCCAAGCAAACATTTACTGAGGGTTTTACTACACAGCAGGCCCTGGCGTAGAGAGAGAAATAGAAAAGGGCTCTGCCTCCAAAGACTCCAGAAGGACCATTTTCCAGTCACCTTCTCCCTCTCCCCGCAGTGGATTCATCTGCCAGGGGCTCAGGGAAATGGGCACAAGGTCTCCCCAGCTCCTGCCAGCTGCTGAAGGAGACAGACCCCACAGTGTGTCCCATGAAATTCCCGAGCTCTGCTCCCAGAACATTCCAGAGTTTGCTCCTGGTCTTCTAGTTGTGGCATTCCCTTCCCTCTCTCCCACAGACCCTGTCATGTCTCTGCACTCTGACCTGGGCCTCCCAAAAGGGAAGGAAGACAGGACAAAGAAAAAGTTACCTAGACTGAGGGGGAGCAAAGTCAGGCTTATAAGTTTGGAGAGACGGGGAGCATCTTCAGTATATGTGCAAATAGCTCATAACTTTCCAGTCAGATAAGCGACTTGAAGGACCCTATGAAAGTATTCCCTGGAACACTCACTCACCCCAGGGGCAGTAGGCCACCTGCCCTGTAAGTATTTCCTTGCAGTGGGTGTGGTTTAGTATTCATTGATGAAATACTTGGTTGGGAACATATTACACCATGTGGAGACTCAAAGGTAAACTCCAAGTAATAAACTGTATTTTGCATATTGAAAATAATGCTGAGTGGAGTTTTTCAATCCGTTTTCCTTCTTTCAGAGGACTTGGGGGCAAACCTACCAAACCGACTGTGGTGAGGGGGCCTAGCCTTGGACACCCCCTCCCCAGCCAGAGAAGAGAAGGGTTAGGCAAGAAGGGAGTCAGGTAAGGAGGTGGGCAGTGATGGGTATTTATGGGAAATACCTGTAAACTGAAATCAAGGTACCTGCTTTGGGGAGGGCAGCCAGCCTCTCAGAGGTGGGCCCAGCAGCGGCCCTGTTCTGGAATGAGCCAGAGGCCAGAGGCAGGCACTCTACATCCACTCTCCTCTTCCCACCCCTTGAGCTCCTCCACACCCTTCCCTAGACTCTAAGCGGCTTAATGGCAGCACAAGATGATAAAGGCCTTTGCATCCTCGGCTCTCATTGTGTTTGGCCAGCTGGCTGGAAGGTGGCACCACTGACGCTAGGACTCATCTGTAAGTTAGAGGGAGACAGCATGGTGACAAAGATGTGCACCTAGGTTCAGGCCCAGCTCTACCACTTTTACAGGATAGAGGATAATATCCATATTTCAGCCTCAGCTTCCTCAGCTGTGAGGTGAGGCCTTTGGCACATCCTCACCCAGGGTTTGTTCCCTGATTCTTCCCTCTGTCTGTCCACCCATCCCCTCTTCCCCTGTTCCCTTTCCTGTTCCCTTCCTCTCCCTTCTCTTTCTCTCCATCCTCCCCCTTCTCCTCCCTCTTCTCTTCTTGTTCCTCCTTTCTCCTTATCTGCTTTCTTCCACCTCCTCCTCCTCTTCTCCCTCCGTCTCCTCCCTTCTCCTTTCCCTTCTTCACCCTTCTCTCTTCTCCTTCTCCTTGCTCTTTCTTTTCTCTCTTCCCATTTTCTCCTCCATAAGCAGTCCCCATTCATCACCAAATTAGTAATTATCATCAATTAGATAATTGGCCAATGGTTCTCAATGTTTTTGGTCTTACCATCCCTCTACACTCTGAAAATGTGTTGTGGATCCCAAAGAGTTTTTTGTTTATGTGGATTATATCTATCAATATTATCGTATTAGAAACTAAAACTGAGAAAAATGATAAAACACAAACATACAGAAGCACGCCTTCCACAGGTGATACTGTCACCACATATCAGTAGCCTCTAGTAAACTGAGAGAATGAGAGTTTAAACACACACACACACACACACACACACACACAGTCAGTATTATGAAAATGATTTTGACCTTGGAGGACCCCCAGAAAAGGTCTCAGGGCCCCTCAGGGTGGGGACCATACTTTGAAAACAGCTGATCTGGGTTAATGTGCCCTTTTCAAGCACCTGTGTGTGAGACCGCACTGAGACCATTAAGGCCATTGAGGGAGGAAGGAATGAGGGTAATTGGGGTGGAGGGAGGAGGGGCTCAAGGAGAGGTCCTCAGAGGATGCTTTTGGGTGACCATGGGCTACATAGGAGGCCCTGGAGGGGCACAGAGAGGCAGTGGGACAAGCTAGAGACCAACCAAAGCCTGTGAACCACTGACATTTTTAAAGGAGGACACGGGAATCTGGGGTAAGCCCAGCTGATAGGTTACAAAATTAACTGGGATTGGGGCCACATTGCTGTTAATTGGCTTCTCCCCAAACCCAGGAGAGCTAACTGAGCAGGAATTTGTAGATTTGCATTTCCCAAACTTGCCTGCTGGGTCAATAGCAGGTTAAAAATACAGATCCATACGTCCCCTCCCCTGGAGCCCTGGACTCGCAAGACCGAGGTGGACCAGGAATTCGGATGAGGCAACTTGAGGAAAGCTCTCAGTGAATCTTCTTGTCTCTATCGATCCTTTGTGAGAATGTGATGCTAAACTGCTCACCCTGTCACTTGTGATAGGAGAGAATCGGGTCCATTTTCAAGGAATACCACAGACCCCCCATTCTCTAGACAGGACTTGGCTGGAGCTAAGCGGAATTCAGGACTTGTTAATCTCCACAGCGGGTGACTCACGGCCATTTCTGGTGAAAGAAATGAAGTTAATATGTTTGTGTCATTGTAAAAATGATGCAGACCCTCTAGTGAGAAGATGGGATCAGGAATGATGGTCTGGATTATTTAACCACCTAAATAAATATGTACAACGAAATGTCAGTATTTGTGTGAAGACTATGACAACAGGAAATGCCTTTCTTTGAACCCAGGATCATCTAACCAACACACCAATGGTGAACACTTAACTTTGTCACAAACCAGGAACCATGAAGCAAAAGTCACTGTTTCTATCTGTGCTCCCCAATAAAAGGCAGCCTCCCACTCCTAGGTCTATACCCAAGAGAAATGAAAACATATGTCCACACAGAAACTTGAATACAAATGTTCTTAGCAGCCCAAGATGGAACAACTCAAATGTTCAACAACTGATGAATGGATGAACATAACATGGTCTATCCATACTGTGGAGTATTACTTAGCAATAAAAAGAAATGAAGTACTGATTCATGCTACAACATAGATGAATCTTGAAAACGTTATGCCAAGTGAAAGAAGCCAGTCACACAGGGCCGCATATTGTATGATTCCATTTATATCAAATGTCCAGAATGGGCAAATCCACAGAGACAGAAAGCAGACTGGTGGTTACTTAGGGCAAGGGGTGGGATGAATGGGGAGTGACTGCTAATGGATATGAGATAACCTTTGAGGTAATAGAATTAGATAGTGGTGATTGTAAAACAACTCTGTGAATATACTAAAAACCACTGAATGGTATACTTTAAAAGGGTGAATTTTATGGTATGTGAATTATAATGAAGTGGTTATATGGTAATATATATTTTATATTTTATATCCACTATAAAAAATAGTAGGCAGTCAGTCTCTAGCTATTTTCAATATTAAAAAAAAAAAACCTATAAGTAAGGTTCACCAAAGTGTCACATTTTGGTTTTTAGTTAGAAGTGGGACAAGTGAGCATGGTAACCCTGGTTAGTTCATACTAATAATAAAAGCTTCTCTGTAGAGAGCTTTCATTGTGTGCCAGGCACTGTGTTGACCACTTTGCATACACCAACTCATGTAATCCTCATAACAGCCCTATGAGGCAGATTCTTACCTCCATTTAATAAGTGAGAAAACTGATAATTATTAACAGTTGCCAATGGCAGGGCCAGAGGATTTATCACTCACTCCAAAGCTACTCCAAATCTAAGAAAAAGCTGTATGCCTGCTGCTAAAATATAATGTTGTAAAGTCATGACTCTCTTGCAAATAAAACATGAACATATATCAAAATGTTTATTTAACCCAATTATTGAGGAAACCCATGGATGTCAAAACCAGTTCAAACGGGAATTTGATGTACAGAGATTTATATTCCCTTCTGACAAAATTCATTTGGCTCACTATAAAGGAATCGCTGACATTGACAGATGAGGGACTCAGCAGTATGGTTAGAGCCAGCTCAGGGAGAATTCTGCTGTTACCTGCTGTCACAGCCTCTTTGTTCACAGGCCCATAGAGGAAGCACTAGGGTGGCTAAGTAAAGAGGCTCTCTTGACATCCACAGAGCACACAATTTTGTCTACTTGATTATTAAGAGCTCCTCTGCAGTGGTTTCCCTTTGGGAGCATTCACATGGGACAGAAATATGTTATCAGTGCTCAGAGGGGTCAGCCACATACCTCTTTCCAAGATTTACTTGTCACCAATCTTCCAATCTTGTTTTTTTTCAGGGCCCTCACCATCCAGCCAAACCATCAGTCACTGCCCGTGAATCAGTGCAGATCTGTACTCTGGCCATCTCTCACCCTAGACATAGTGGACAGTTACATATCTGGCTTGAATATCTGCCCACTGGGAGGATTTTTCTTCAACACTGTCTTCACAGTCACCCCTGAGTGGGGCAGCAATGCTATCTCTGTCCACTTTCATGTACCAGCATATCATACAGACCCATCTGTAGTCCAGGCTTGAGGTTTTCTACCTCCGTCAACTAGTCATAAGCAACCCCCTGGAGGCCATAGGCATGGAAGGAGGGAGGAGGCTAAGCAACAGGAGATGGTGTTGCAGGAGTTGGAGCCATCTGATCGTGCAATTTACTTGTACCTAATGGACCTGTCTGAGTTCAGTCTCATATCCCATTTCCACTTGATGACAAATTGCTGCTGAGCACGCCCAACCTCATGACATATCATGATGGCAGCTCAAGCTTCATGGTCACCTGAGGTCCCATGGTTAGACATTCAGCCTCTACCAAGGCCCAGTAGCAAGCCAGAACTTGCTTTTCAAAAGGAGAACAGTTATCTGTAGAAGAGACCATAGATTTGTTTCTAAATCCTAGAGGTCTGCACTGTAATTCTCCTATTGGTATTTGCCAAAGGCTCCATTCCTATTGGATACTTCAAGTATCATTGGATATGTTGGATCATGAGACTCAAATGGTAGAGCAGCTTATGCTGTAGCCTGAATGTTCTGCAGAGCCTCCTCTCACTCTGCTCTCCAATCCACCAGCCTGTAGATGGGTTGAAGCTGCCCACTCAAATGTGTATGTCGCCTCCAAAATCCAAAATGACCTACCAAGCGTTGTGCCTTTTTTTCCTTGTAGATTTTACAAGATGTAGCACCTCATTTTCACCCTGGGTGGGCTATTTCAACAAGCTCCCGACCCCAGAAATTTCACTGCTGGTACCAATTTTGTATCAGCCTTGTCCAATTAGGAAAAAGAAGCCATAGAAAGAAAAAGATTAATATAAGAAGTATTAACTATAACAGGGGATTGGAATAATGGTATTGGCCAGTAAAATGTAAAGAGAACTCTAAGCAATATAGAATGGTAGCTATAAGAAGCAGCCACTAACCTGGAGCTGAGCTCCTATTATAGTGATAACTAAACTCTACTGTGATGGCCTGTTTCTTTGTCCCATCACAGGACTGTAGGGTCCTTGAAAGCAGGGACCACATGTCTTGTTCTCCATTATATCTCTAATGCTAAGAAGGGGAGGCCTAGCACCTCCAAAGGCTCTGAATACATATGAGTGAATGAATGAATGCAGCCAATATTGGCACTCTAGCAGCCCACAGGAGAATTATCCTGTTTCCTGCTATTATACATACGCCAGACCCAAAGAAAAGTATCTCCCACACACACCTGAATGCGTCCGTCCAATTGAGATGCTGATCACCCTCGCAAGGAAGCTGCCAATGGAGGCTTATGTGTATGTAGCCTTTGTCAACCTCTACTTAAGAGAAGGGAAATGCCTAGCCCAACTTCTCAGACTGTCTCCTCCAGGTTCTTAGTCCCCAGGCCGAGAGTTAACCCCAAAGAATCTCACTGTACTCCAGATTTCAACGTGAACACCTGCCCACTGCTGGGCCTCGTTTTCGGAACTCGCACAGGTGCAGGTGGTATTCCCATCATAGGCCCCCTCCCCGGATCTAGAAAAAAACAGTCCGCCAGGGCGGGACCAAGTAACCCCTCCGCGGGCGGAAGCTAGGCTGGGCCTAGAAAGCAGGCCTGGGCCTGGACCCGCTGGCAGAGACCAGGTCATGGGCGATGCACTGAGGTTGCCCACAGTGCGGCTGCTGACCGACTCCCTGGAGTCCTGCTCCCGGGCGGCCGGCACTGCCACGTTGCCACCGTCCATGCCGGGGGGCCTCCGTGCTGCACTCTGTGGCCGCCCAGGTACAGAGGCATTACCAGCTCGTCTGGTCCTGCTACCGCGGATATCAGGGAAATCGCATCGAGCTAATGGAACACGTGGCGCAAGAGACACTCCACGACCGCCGCGTTCCCAGATGGGGCCGCGTGGTGGCGCTTATTAGTTTCGCGGGGACGCTGATGCAGAGACCCCCGCCAGGCCGCAGGCTGGAACTAAAGGTATGGGAGGCCGAGGTTGACCGGGACTGCCAAAGCCTGGTGGTGGCTTTGCTGTGCGATTGGCTCACGGGGCAGCACGGGACCCTGGGAGGGAGGGACGGGCGGGGCGGGCATGCCGGGACGCGCCCGTGCGATGGGCACCTGGGGACCCAGTGGCGCCAGCCCTTGGGGGCGTTCGTTTCAGCACGCTGGGACGTTGAGTGTGTATTCCAGATTTCTCCTCTTTTGGCGGCATCACGCTGGCAGAAACCGGCCTTTCTAGACGGCTGTCTTGTTAACCCATTCTGAAGAACCTGTGCAAGACTTCGGTTTGCGCACTTTGGATCTGCACTTGCCCGCGCCCTCGTTAGGTCTGGATGCTTTGCTCTTCTAGAGATCCTCAAGCTGGTGAAGTCAGCAATAGAGTGATCCCGGCCAGGTGGATTCTTTCTCCTCCGCCTATTAAATGCACCTTTGGAGAGATTCAGATTCATTGACCCCATAGCTCTGCAGGCGGAAGAGCACCAGCCTAAAACGTTAGAATGAAAAGCCACCCCTTTGTCCCGCCCCCACACCACTCAGGAAGAGCAGGGACACAGGTGTTGGGGAGTGTGCATGAGCAACCGGTGATGGTGCTGACTCAAGGTTCCTTCTAATCCACTGCTCCTTGCCCTCAACTGAGAGAGAGCCCGAGCGCCCTGGCTTTCAGCTGCAGGCCATTGAGCTCTGTGGTTTAGGCTAGAGGGGCAGGCCCTTAGCTTGCAGCTCATAAACCCATCTATTGGTCAAGGAAAGCCCACCACCCTTCAGTAAGAGTGTAGCTTGACTCTTGGGTTCTGAGCTAGACCCCTGTTTCTTTTCTCTCTTCCTTACTGGAGTTGAATCAACGATTGCAGTGGCCCAGACTGTAGAATAAATACAGCCAAACTAATACAACTAGCCATTAAAAAAAAGAAGAATCCAAGGAACTAGGGGAAACACTACAGGAAATTTAGCCTCCTATTGGCAGATTCCTGTTAGACCTGAGGTGATGAATTGGGTTCCATTTGTGGAGGAGAGGTAGTATCTGAATCAGAACCTTGTATGAACAGTTTGAAGTGTTAGCATTAACTCTGGCATTCTTTGTGGTGTGTGTGTGTTTGTCTTCAGTCATCTAGACCTGTGAACTCTAAGAACCCCACTTGAGCCATTTATCTTAAGGCATTTGGCCCCTAAGGGCTTTCTGCACTTAAGGAGGAAATTGACTGTGGGGGAGGGGATGTTGTTTCTGCTCTCATCTTTTAGCCAATCAATCTTGGCTAAGAAATCTTTTAACATTAAGAAGCTGACATTCTCCAGTTGAGTAAACAGGACTAGCCCCACTGCTCTCCCAGATGCAGTTAAAATGCTAGGGTCTGGACTGAAATTCCCTTTTTCTCCATTTTTCTGAATGGAGGTGCTTGCTTTGTCTCAGGTGATAACTTTCAACCCAGTGATTTGACCGTTTCCCAAATGGTATCTCCTTTGCTTTGCTTAGGAAAACATGATATGCCGACACACTCAGAGATCTTGTGGGTTCGGTTCCAGACCATCGCAATAAAGCAAGTCATAATCTTTTTGTTGGTGGAGGGTCTTGTCTTCAATTTGTGTAAAAAGAAAAAAAAGAAAACACCTATGAAGTGCAACAAAGCAAAGCGTAATAAAACAAGGTATGTCTGTAGTAGTCTTTCTTCCTCTAGAATTTTGAAAGAAGTGAGTCAAAAGAGCATTCCTGCTATAACTGACAAAGTGAAGTGTCCCTATGTCCTTCTATCCACCATGTTGGACTACTTACAGATCCTAACTCATCAAATGTTCCCAATTATGGGTTGCCTATTGGTCAGTATTTCCTTGTTGTACTTTTTAAATCCAGGAGTTATCTCAGTTTCATCTTGAACCTCCTGTGTATTTTGAGCATTCTGAAGCAATCTAATTCTCTTCTCCTTCCTTGTAGGATGGCTTTTGTCACTTGTTCACACCTGCACCGATATCTTCTTGGGAAAGACTGCTGGTCCAGGTTCTTCTGTCATACTTTACAGCAACAATCTTAACCTATTTGTGGACAAAATTTTCGTGAGTTCCCAGATTCTTAACCCATTTCTACCTCCCAACTGTGACCAGCCAAGTGAATTTGAGATGTAAAAGAATAAAACAAAGCACCATCTGAGAATTTTCACTGGCATTCATATAAGGAGTCCTGTGGTAATGATTCAGCCAGTGTTTTAACTCCTGACAATTACTCAAAGGTATTAGGACAAAGGCATAAGTGGCTTTTCTCAGAGTTGGGGAAATAGGAGTCTAAAGGCTTATTGCTCCAAAGAATTGTAAAATTTGAAACTGCATTTCATTAAATGGGAAACATGGTGCTATTTGCTATTTACCCCAGTGTAAATTCTTGCCTCCATTGTCATAGATTAATTGACCACATAGGTGTGGGTTTATTTCTGTGTTCTCTATTCTGTTCCATTGATCTGTGTGTTTTTATGCCAATACCATGCTGTTTTGATTACTATAGCCTTGTAGTATAGTTTGATATCAGGTAGTGTGATACCTCCAACTTCGTTCTTCTTTCTAAGATTGCTTTGGCTATTCAAGGTCTTTTGTGGCTCCCTATAAACTTTAGGATTATTTGTTCTAATTCTATGAAAAATGCCATTGATATTTTTATAGGGATTTCATTGAATCTGTAGATTGTTTTGGGTAGTATGGACATTTCAATGATGTTAATTCTTTCTATCCATGAGCATGGTATATCTTTCCATTTATTTGTATCTTCTTCAATGTCTTATAGCAATGTCTTTGCTATGTTTAGATAAATTTGAATGAATCACCTATCCACAACTTCATGTGCTACTGCTGACAAGTTTATCAAGGCAGTGGGTCAGGGGTGAAATGATACCAAAAGTTCTCCAAGTACCAGTCAAACAAAGAATGTAACATTAGCACCTTTTATAAGGAATTCTTTCTAAATCCTTTTGATTTAGGTACCTCACAGTTTCTAGAGTTAATATTAAGAATTTATTTTTCTGACTTTAATAAATTGTTAAATGTCTTCAAAGTTTTAATAAATGTATGCATCTTTAAAAAAAAAACTTAGTTTGTTTTCCTTGGGACTCAATAAGCCTTTATTCTTAGTAGTAATTTGAATTTATGACAGTATCCTTTTTTGTCTCTTTAAATACAACATGTACAACTCTGGTTTTTTCCATTACAGTTAATACACAATGTTAGTTTCAGGTGTACAACATAGCAATTAGACATCTATATAACTTACAAAGTGTTTACCCCAATAAATCTAGTGCCCATCTGACACCACACAGTTATCACAATATTATTGACTATGTTCTGTATGCTGCACTTTATATCCCCATGACTATTTTTATAACTGGCAATTTGTACTTCTTAATCCCTTCCCCATTTTCACCTATCCCCTCAAGCCCCTTCTCATCTGGCAACTACCAATTTGTTCTCTGTATCTACAAGTTTGTTTGTTTTGTTTGTTCATTTATTTTTTATTTTTTTAGATTCCACATGTGTCTTTCTCTGTGTCACTTATGTCATTTAGCATAATACACTCTAGGATCATCCATGTTGTCACAAATGGTAAGATTTCATTCGTTTTTATGGATGAGTAATATTCCATTATATGTATATAAGTACCACATCTTTATCCATTTTTCTATTGATGGACACTTAGCTTACTTCCATATCTTGGCTATTGTAAATAATGATGCAATTAACATAGGGGTGCACATATCTTTTCGAATTGGTGTTTTGGATTTCTCCATATAAATATCCAGAAGTGGGATTGCTGAGTCATATGGTAGTTCTATTTTAAAATTTTTGGGCTGGCCGAGTGGCTCAGTTGGTTAAGAGCTCGCTCAAGAGTTTGAGCTCTGAGCAACAGGGTCCCTGGTTTGATTCACGGCCCGAGCTGAGCTGCCGCTGAGCTGCTAACAGGTGGCAGGATGGCTCAGCTAAGAAAAAAAATTTTTTTTGAGGAACTCCATACTGTTTTCCATAGTGGAAGGGCTGATTCTCACCCAAAAGTTGGCAAATTCTGGCATAATAGGAGTTAAAAAGGCTAAGGTTGGATTTATTCACTTTTGCTTATCTGCTCCCAAAACAGATGGATAATCAAATAGTAGCTTCTGACTGTCCCCAAATGGACCAAGTGCTGCAGGAGGGAAGAACCTATATTCTAAATTTGGTGAAGTAAATTTAAAAAAACAGAATATAATTTCCCCATACAGAAGTCTGTTCTTAAGAGATGCGTTTGGTGATCTTGCATTACATTTCCTAAACAAAATGAAGATTATGGTGGTTAGGATATTGAAAGAGAAGACATCAGAGTCATTTGTAAGACAGTTGGAGCTGTCAAAAACCAAACTGTGAATACTGAATAAAATAAAGGAGAAAGATGAGTTTATTGCAAAGCTTTCAACCTGCAAGCTGGGAAACTCAAGGTTATGGGAGCAATGAGTTTCAAGTTGCTCACAGAATAACAGATTTTTATGGGGTAAATGTGGAAGTTATTTGGCTGTTTCAGCTGATTGGTTTTCTATTGGTCGTCTTCCCTATTTGGATCAGGGTAGCCAAGTCAGGGAAACAAGGAAGTCCAGAGATGGCCTGAACAGATCTCGCATTTGGGGGTTGGCTGGTCTCCTCGACTGATTTCTAAAAAGAGCTATAATCCTGGTAACATTACGTTAAGTAAGCTGCCCTTATGAGCCTGCATTGACCTTCTCTGTTTTGTCCCTGACATTAGTGACTCCATTTTAGCTTGGTTCTCCAGAGCCAAGCCAGTTGTTCATTTTGACCAGTTTACTGCTGACATGCTGGGTTTGGCTGAGTTATCCGAGGAGGTCAATTTAAATGTTTCTGGCAAACTGCTCAAGATTACAGGCTGTGCCGGCCCTGGAAAAACAGTTAACAGTTGTTCCTGGTTCTAATAAATTGGCGATGGAAGAAGCTGAGCACTCCATTCATGATGTGCTATGTGTTATTCACTGTTTAGTGAAGCAGAGCGCTCTTATTGCAGGAGGTGGTGTTCCAGAAATAGAGTTGGTCCCATGTTAAGTGGATATTCATGAACATTGAGTGGTATGGGACCCTACTGCATTCGTGTCTTTGCAGGAATAATGGAGGTCATTCCATCTATACTAGCTGAAGCTGCTGGCCTGAATCCCATTTCTTCAGTAACAGTACTAAGAAACCAGGGTGCCCAAGGAGAAAAATATTTTGGAGGAATTGGTTGTCTAGCCCTTGTTGGTTTCAGTCAGCGAACTCACTCTAGCAATGAAATCTGTCTGGAACAAACACCAGCAAATTGATGTAGTAAACACTCAGTAATCTGGATAACACTGGCTGACTGGCACCATCCTGGATGCTGATAGTGAGGCTGGTCTAGAAGACCTCCTTGATGTTCCCTGTTGTCTGGAACATTGTTTCCACTATGAATTCCTGGGCTCAGTCTTTCATTTGGCATTTGCTTGAAGTGTATTGAGACAATTTAGTGAAAATAGTAAATATTTGGTTTCAAAAAAACTGTGGCATCCCCGCAGGCCTTGCTGGCCATTATTACATTTGCATTTCACAGAACATCCGGACCTGCTCTTTTGACTCATTTTAGGTGCCCTTCCTCTTCAGAGCATGTGGCTCTGCCTCCCTGTTCTATCAGTGCATTCTGCACCATGACAGGATAAACTGATTTAACCTTCCATTGCTGTGTTTTTTAGGATGTTTCTCCTCTTACAGGCTATTGGAAACAATGTTGCATGGAATTTTTTTGTGCATAGCCTTGTACACATGCATGATTATGTCTGTAAAAGGGAATCCTAGCGATTCTGAGTCATAGATTTTATGTATCAAAATTTAGGTGCTACCAAATTATTATTCAAAATAGGTTGTGCCAATCCAAACGTACCCCAGGGTAGAGCATGCTTAGCTCTTCACACTCTTGCCAGTGTTAAATCATCCTAAATTTTTGCCTTTATGGCTTTTGAGTCTTCTTTAGGAATGTCATCCTTATCCCAAGATTTTAAAGAAGGTATTCTATGTCCTCAGACATTGATCCAGTCTGGAATTCTTTTAGTGTAGTGTGAAGTAGGACTCACTTCTTCTGAAAGAAGAGTTGTGGGAGATACTTCAGCATTCTTTATAGACAGCCTGTTTTTTTTCCCCTTCATATCTGAATGTAATCTCTATTTTGTTTACTTATCTTTCTCTTTACTAATAGCACTTGACCTCAATTACTATATGTTTATGGTATCTTTGAATATCTGGTGGTATAAGTCTAATCTTCTTCCCTACCATTGCTCTTAAAAAAAAAAATCCTTGACTATTCTTGTGAATTGTTTAAAGTGAATTCTCAAAACCAGCTTATAAGGAATCCATTAAGACATTGATTTAGAGGTTTGATTAGAATGATATTGGATTATAGACCAATTTGGAAATGAGTAGTATCTTTATAATATGTCTTCCCTTCTAAGAACATGAACTCTTGCTCCGTTTATTTAGTTCTCTTATAGTTTTCATCACATAGGTCCATGTTCTTGTCAAGTGTATTCTCTATGGGTTCTGTTGCTATTGGGAACAGAATCTGGAAGGGATGTTTTGCCTTCCCAGAAGTCATTTTCCCTGACACCTTCTGGTAGGGTTGACTCTTCCACACTTGACCCCACCCCAAGATCGGGAACATGACCTAGACCTGGCCTAACACAGCTGTTTCTTAAGTGAAGTTAACAGGACTCAATTCCAGGATCTCTGTGGACACTATCGAATGAGAATCTTGCACCGCTGGAAAGAGCCTGCCTGGAAGATAAGACTTCACAGAAGGACGGAGGTCAGAGATTTGGGGAGGGATGGAGTGTGGAGAAACAGTTCTGGTGACATTACTAAAGCCTCACAATTTGGCTGTGCTTAACGCTACTTGGGACTCAAATTTCCTTTTCTGCTTAAACTCATTTTTTTTGCAAGTGAAACTCAATTCATTCCTGAGTCAGAGAATCAATTTTTCCCTGTTGTATTTATTATTTGGTTATGGCTGCCATAAAAAGAAATTTAATATAGAT